CGACCTAACCGCCGCAGGTACTGCGGGGCAGGCTGGCCTCCTTTGCCCTTCAGCCCTGGAGCTCTGACAGTTCTGGTCATGCACAAGAACCTCTGCTCACGCTGACACTGTGCCTGGACCAGACTTGCTGACTTCTGGGGTGCACCTGGCTGCTCCCTGTATCCCTCCTGTCGGCCACACGTTTTCTGCCCCCTGGGAAGAGTGGCTAGTTTGACTCTGTAAGTGGTCTAAGTCTGCTCAAGGACAATTCAGGGATATCGAGGCAGGTGTTGCCCACGACCTTAGGGACCCCCCCCAGTCCACCCAGGGCTCCTAGAACCACACCTGCAACTTGATTTTGGGCAGATGGTCACCAAAGGGTGGCCAGACTTCCTTAATCCCAAGCGTCTCCCCAAACAGTTGTGACTGCCGCACCAGTGCCAGGCAAGCCTGGGACTTGCTCACCATCCCCTCCCATCCTTGGAGCAGAACTGGCTCACGTGGGGACTCACCAAATCCCACTACACATGATTGCATGCCCAGTTTCTTCTGCATTCCCTAACTGCACATGGGGCCTTCCTGGCACACTGCCTCTTTTTGTATCCTCAGAAACATACCTAAGCACAGGCTCCTAACCCTTAAGCCCCTGTTGGTGCCCAAGGAGAGTGGGAGCTAGAGCTATAGAGCAGGTGCAGAGTGAAATTTGTAAAGCAAAGCAAGCAAAGCCAGGGAAATGAGGGCGCTGGAGTAACTCTCAAACTTCCATTGCTCATTTCCTTCGCCTGCAGCTGGACAACAGAAAGTGGTTACATGAAAATTAAATTGTGCCCAGGGCTTTGGCTTGTCAGCCTCGATAAATGTCCAGTGCAGACAGGATCGTGCAGAGCTCAGGCCTGCCGGGATGTACTGCAGTTGCCCAGAGGCCTGGACATCATACCTGAATGTCAGCTATTTTTTACCAGCAACTTCTCTCAAGGAATAAAACCCCCCACTTTTGGGGTACAGTCTATTTGGTTGATTTAAAGGAGGGCACGCTGAAGAAAAAACTCTTCCTGCCTCATGCTAATGCTGAGTTCCAGAGCTGAGCCGACTGCTAATTGTCAAGAGTGCTGGGTTGTGCTCACACTGAGTATGCTACTATTGATTAAACAGTCACAAGTCTTTAGGATCATTTTTAGCACAACAGCATGAACAGGGCTGAAATGAAAATGAGCCTGAGAGAATGAACGCTCGCGTTTGGAATGATCCTGGGCTGAGCCTCGGAACAGATGAGCCTAGAGCAGCTGCAGTTGCTATTCGGGGTCATGTAGGTCTCGGAATCTGTGGCCTGCAGCTCTGAATCCAATGGTCAGCTGAGTGTGTCAAATCAACAGGTCACAGGTGTTTGGTGTTCTTGTTTTCGTTTGTTTTGCTTTTCCCTCGGAGGGTGGGCTTTTAAAGCAGTTTCTCTAAGGACTGCAAGGCTTTCCCCTGCAGTTGGGAAGTACACTGCTTATGGTCCAGCAGCAATGTGCTTTCTCCTGGGCAACAGAGTTGTCTTCACCATAGGGATTACCAAACACAGCCCTTGGGCTAGGTCTGCACAATTCTGTATGTCCCTGTAGGTTGAGAAAAGCTTTAGCATTTTTGAGTGGTTGCGCATGAAAGCTGAGAGAGCAAAAATTATGCATGAAATGCAAACTGCTATCAGTTGAGTTGCTGGCTTTGTTGGTGTCCACAAGCCAAGGGTTTGCTCTGTGGCTGTTTCCGTGCCGTGCTGGCGAGAGTCAAAGACTTGCAACAGAGACCATATGGTCTGCAAGCCCCAGACACTTATTCTCTGGTGTTACACAGGTAGAATTGGCTGACCTCTGGCACACGGAAAGCAGCGAATGGTCTCCTTCCAAGAGTCCTCTTACTGGATGGACTTGAGCTAAAACTTGCTAGACAAGATGACTGAACCAGTTCAGGAAAGACTAATGAAAAGAGGCCCTATCAAATCCCATTGCTAGTATCCGGGTGAATGTGGGGCTTAGTAAGACTCACAGCATTTGACTAAATCCACTAGAATGCTGGCACGGTGGCACAGTGAGCTAATCTCATCTGGGCTCTGGCTGGAGTCCTGGCTACTCCACTTTTGATCCAGCTCCCTGATGATGGTCTGGGAAGGCAGTGTAAGATGGCCGAGTGCTTTGGGGCCCTGCATCCTTGTTGGAGACAGCAGCTCTTCTCTCTTGACTTTGGACAAGCCCAGCTCTAGACATTGTGGCCATTTGGGGAATGAACCAGAGAGAATGGAAGATCTCTCTTTCTCTCTATTTCTCCATCTCTCATTTTATTTCTGTAACTCTGCTTTTCAAATAAAAATAAATCTTAAAAAATGTACCTGTATTGTTCTTGAAAACCAGCCAACACCTGGTGATTGCTTTACTCCATGGTGGCAACTCATCCTGGTGCATCTTTCTCAACTCAACCTCTTCTTCCTTCTCTTCCTTGTCAACCAGTCACCTAGGAGGGCTCAGGCTATGTTTTTAAGCTCCAAAAAATAGAATCTGACCAGTCACTTGTCAAGACAATTAATACACAGGCCTGCCATCAGACCCATCAGTGGTTCTCCGGGTCCTGGTCTGCACGCATCCATCTGGCTACTGCAGTTGGAGGGTGTCTAGGCCATCTGGGAAGTTAGTTCCTGAATGTCAGCACACAAGGCTTGGAAAATGCTGGGTCCATCAGTGATACTTCTCAGATATGGTGGGACTATTCCACAAAGGGCAAACCTGTGACCCGCCACTCCTGGATACCTCCTCTAGTTTCTGCTCCATTGGCCTGATTGCCTCCATTGTGTCTAGCCCAAGCTGGTGAGTAGGGTGTTGCCATACAATAAAATGCCTGTTGACCCAACATCATCACTAACTCGCTGGGGCTGGCTTATAACAGGGGTGAACTCTAGACAGAGGTCTGCTCTGTTGTCAGTAAAATACCCCCAGTGATTCATCTTTGCTGCTCTCACTGGCTCCCCACTCAACCCAAGCATCACCTAAAGAGCTCACGATGCACCCAGCAGCTCCCTCAGTCATGAGCAGGGTGCCAAGGACAGCCACCCCAGCCCCACAAATTGAAGAGACTGAGAGGAGAGAAAGGCACTCTCATAAGTACTGGACTTGAACATTTTCCATCAGAATCAAAACTCAGAAAGAATTGCCCTAACAGTATAAAGTGTTCCTTTTGCTGCCTTAATTTGGGGACAATCAATAGGCCTGATTGAAGACTGTTTTTGTTGAAATAAGGGGGTATGAGGGCTAACTAGGCTTTCAAATTCCTCCCTGTCGGTGGGCAGACACTGTGTGCTGGAAGAAGAAACCTTTGGGATAATGAGTGAAAGGGTCTATCTCTACTGGATGAATGTGAACCCTCTGCCTGTCCTGGGCACAGGCTGGGAGAGGGAGGTGGGGGTCCCATCTTGTCTATGCCTTTGAATGATGCTTAGCAGGACACCGAACCTCTGATCCTTGCTTTACTCATTGTGAAAGTGTGGCTAATGTCAGTCCCAATGACTTCACAGGATCATCACGAGCTTCCAAAAAAGGAATGGACATGAGAAATGCTTGAGGGAATGGATAGAGCTGTGTGGGTAGTCTTCCCAAATCACAAGGCTGCTAGAGCCAGTGGTGTGTCCTCCCTGGAAGGGCTCAGCCCCCAGGGCAAGCAACAGCCACCCCCCTGCTCAGCTCTGTTTTGGAGACACAGAGCATGTTGCAAACCTACTGAACTCCAGAGCCCCTTGCCCAGGGTTCTGCTCTGTGCCTATGCCAGACCAATATGGGGTGAGCTGGGGAGGGGTCAGAAGATGGGGTGTAATCTCTGCTGAGAACAAAGAGGAGCTCCCCGGAAGTGCTCTGGGAGCCACTCACAAAGGCCCTCGTTCTTTTCTCTTATTCTTTGGGCCAAAACAGATCACAAAGCAAGCAGTTACTAAGGCAACGGGGCTCCTTGGGTGGTGCCCATGCCAGCATGGAGGTGGAAAAGATGCCCTTGTTAAAGAAAGAAGAAAGGGAAAAGAATCTATGTTTTCAGGTGGATTTGTCCTCTACCCAAAGCATTTCTGCTGTTATGAGAAGAAGCCACTATGATTGCAAACATGCCACCCTCTCCTCGCTGTCAGACTTCCAGGCTTTCATTCTGCACTTGGTGGAGTCCACAGGCATAAGGGCTGCAGTAAATTAGAAGATGAGAGACCATGAGGCTGGGTGGTAAGACTAAGGGCTCATCTGTCCATCAGGGCCATCCTAACCCTATCATTCAGTCCTGCAGTCTCCAAGGAACCTAGCACATCGTTCATCAGCCTGGATGTTGGCTGGCCAAGGCTGTCTCCAGACAGTGCCCATGTGGTCTGTTCTGGGGCTTTGTGGTTTCATACGGGGAATGACCTTGGCAGGGCTCACTAACCTCTGTGCTCACCCCCAGGAAGACAGGCCCCTCTGACTGAGGATAAGGTCCTGCTTGGGCCAAAGAACCCCTGCTTAGTCTGGAGCATCTCAGGTCAGCTTCCTTGACCTCAGAGAGCAGCAAAGGGACAGGGTTCTCTGAGCTGGGAGGTGTGTGCCTTTTGCTACATACTTCATGCTGCCTCCGCAAGTGTTATGTGCTAAGACCTCAGCGTGTACTGTAACCACCCTCCCGGGTGAAGTGACTCAGGGACATCCTCATAAGGAGGGCCTGCTGGTCTGTGGAGGGAGACGATGCCGGTGCACGCACAGTGACTTGGAACCCAGAGGCCTCAGGAGCCCCGAGCTGGGAGAGGTGAGTGACAGAAAGGCGGCCCTTCCCCCAGCAGGAAGGGTAAAGGCAGGACTCTGCAGACTGGCCGAGGGGATGCTGGGGGCCATGGCAACCACAGGAGCAAGACTGCCCTGAGGCTGCTATGGAGGAGAATGCTGGGACTGCCCCGTGGCTGGGACACAGAGTGCCCGAGGTACAGAGGGCAGGCTCCAGGCAGCCAGACCTGGCATAGAAATCAGAGGCGAGGGGTGATAGGCTCAGGCATACATCGATCCGGTCAGGGTTTACAAAAGGGGCACGTGGGCTGGACGGCGGACCTCAGGAGCTAGTAGGACAGGGTGGAGTCATCCCACTCCAGCTGGCCTTGCCTGGCTCCACTCTGCCCGTGTCGGCCTCTGCCAAAGCCCCCCTCCTCCTCCTCCTCTTCGCTGTCGTCAGAGTCACTGCTGCCGCTGGTCATGTCTTCCTCGGCTTCCTCGCCCTCCTCTCCCTCCGTCTCTTCCCCACGGCCCGGAGCTTCGTGTTTCTGGACACCAGGGAGAGGAGAGAGGCTCACATCTACCTCCCACTGCAGTGAGGAAGTTAGCAGCCCTTGGGAGGGGGGTCTTTGCTCTTAATGCTAAGCCCTGGGGTCTGCTGGAGTCACAGCTTTAGAGACCAAAGCCTTGAAGCGGCAACTTCCAAGACCTGAACCCCAAGGGATGCGTGAGCATCAAGGATGGCATAAACGTGAAGGCTTCTGTGAACATCTACATGTCACCTACCGCCTAGACCCCCATGGGCAGAGGGCATGACGCAGGTGGCTTCTGTGGACAGCCACATGTCCGAGGAGGGACCTTTGACATTCATGGTCAGTTGCTAGGGGTTGTTGGCTAACTGGAGATAGGCACTTTAGAGTTGGACAACCTTGACTTTGAATAGTGGTTGCGTACCTCTGAACCTTTTACTTTGGGTTCCCACTTTGGTGAAAGAGGATGACGGCTCCTATTCCATGGGCTGTTGGCACACTAAATGGGTGACTGAGAGCCAGCACCCTGCTCGGAGTGCAATGTGCACAGCGCCTCAGGATGGAGACTCAGTGAATGGCAAAGGACACTGACACGGTTTTCTCCTACTCTGAGCCTTGAAGGAAGCCCTACAGGAGGCTGGCGCAAAGCCACCTGGCTGGCAATGTTAGTTTACCAAGAATGTAGTCCTGAGTTCTCAGGGTCAGTCAGCACTGAGCCAAACACGATGCAGGAGGTGAGGGGTAGACACCATGGCTGCTTTCTTTCAGGGACTTCTGCGTCTCTCTGTGGGACGAGAGCAACTCCCACATCTAAGCCAGGTATTAGTGTATGAGCTGTTTCAGACTTAGAAAGCTGCAGAAGCCCTGTGGTGGGAGAACCAGCAGGACTGAGCTACTTGGACTAGGAGTGACCTTGGGCCTAGGGCCAGGAAGGGCCAAGGCCGGTGGCAGGGGTCAGGAAGGACCAAGCCCGGGGGCAAGGGGAGAAGCCACCCACAGCTCCCCACCGACTAGGAGTAGCCATGGGTCAGGAAGGACCAAGGCTGGGGCGAGGGGAGAAGCCCGCCTATAGTTCCCCACCGACTAGGAGTAGCCATGGGCCAGGAAGGACCAAGGCTGGTGGCGAGGGGTCAGGAAGGACCAAGGCCAGGGGCGAGGGGAGAAGCCGCCCACAGCTCCCCACCGACTAGGAGTAGCCATGGGTCAAGAAGGACCAAGGCCGGGGCGAGGGGAGAAGCCGCCCACAGCTCCCTGCCCCACATGAGGATCACCTCCATGGGGTTGACCGTGATCGTTAGCGCAGAGTCATCCCAATCCATCTCAGCCTCCTTGGCAGCTTCAGCCTCGTGGAGGAAGTGCTGATGGGCGATCCGGATCCTGTACACACCCATGGCCACCACAAACACGAGCATGCACACAGAGATGATGATGACCACGGTGGCGATGCTTGGGACCACTGGAAGGAAGAGGAAAGCCACAGGACACGGTAAGCTCATGCTATGATGGGCATGCTCGAAGCAGCACAGGCAGAGGACAAAGGCTGCTGTTGTGCATGGCAGCTGGGAGGTCCGGGGCACCTGACCCTGCTGGGTCTCACTGTGGTCTGCCTCACTCCCACCCTAAGGATCACTGGCAGGAGTTAACGAATTGCCACTGAGGAATAGAGGAGGAATCTGATAAATTCAAGCTTCATTCTAACCTTGGCTTTCCCCCCAAATCACAGGGTTCTCCCACTAAGAGGAATGGACACGAGTGCCCTCCAGATGGAAACACAAGGCAGGAAGCTCTAACAAGACTACAGGCAAAGGATGTTACAGCACGGTGTGTGTGTGTGTGTGTGTGTGTGTGTGTGTGTGTGTGCGCGCGCACGCGTGAATGTAAGGGACTTATGGATGGCTGTGTATAGATATAACTCAGCATCCTGAAGGAATGAGCCAGTCTGCTGGAACCCTTTTTGCCAGCCTGTGTTCTCACCTGCTGTGTGTGACCTCCTGCTTGCTCGATTGGGAGTCTGCTGAGTCTCTCCCTCAGTTCTGGACCGCTACGCCATAGCAACCCATTCAGTGGGGGGATTTGGAGGCACAGTGACTCCCCAACCCCACAGTGGTCCCTACCTGAATTGCGCTGGATACTGCTCTGGGTCTCAGGGTGGTGAACAGACTGGAGGAACGGAGGCTGCACGATGAGGTGGTTGACATGCTCCTTGTCTGGCAGGCTGACTTCATGGAGCACACTGAGCTGCAAAGAGCAGGAAGGAGATGCTGCTGGCCAGGGATGGCAGGTGGGCTGGGAGCAGCAGTACCCCTGCATGATGGAGGGGACAGCTGGGGACACTGGCAGGACCCACTCACCTCCAGGTTGAACTCATTGCTGGTATAGCGCCCATTGAGTTCTGAGCACTTGATCCGGAACCGTCTTGCCTCCAGGGTAGCTGGGCGCCAGTTGCGGTAGCGGATGTGACGCAACACCTGCTCGTAGCGGTTCATGGAGCCAACACCTGTGCCAAGAGACCACCCCGTCATTGGGAGGCAGAAGAGGAAGCAAGGCGGACAGGCTGGGGCCTTCTCAACGCATCACAAGCACCACACTCTGACTGCAGTGCTGGTCTCAGTCCGCCTAGTGTTGCTATAACACTGGATGAGATCAAACTGTGTAACAGAAGGCATCCACCTTGCTCCAGTCAATTCCCAGGAACATGAGTCCCCAGGAGGCTGAGCAACTCCTAAAAGGTCAGGGAATCCACACTCCGGTGTCAAGGGTCTCCACTGGCCCCTGAGGCTTCCCAGTGGTTTTCCATGGCGGCCATCACACTCGTGTCTCTATGGACAAGGCTATTATGACAGGACACCCCTGAGGTGAAAGGAGCGGTGGGTGACCTTACCATAGATGGAGTATCCTGCAGTGGAGTTAGTGGCATCCAGATGTCGCTGGTGGAGCTCACTGTGGTTGAGTTCTAAACACTCATGTCTAGGATCCAAATCCCCTCCAAGCACCAAAATATCACAGAAGTCCAGGTTGTGAAGCATTTCCTCCAGCACTGCAGATCTGGGGGCTGTTGGGGGGCGTGGAACAGGTATGGGCATTAGCTGGTAAGCTGGATAACAGACTTTGCACAACCCTTCCCTGCTCCACTGATGCACCCCAGGTGAGCGGGTTGGAGAAGAGCTGCATAATCCCAAACATCATGGCCATGGCTCAGATGTCCAGGCTGCCCTGAGCTCTGCTGGCCTGAGCTAGTGGGAAGAACATGAAAACTGCCATTAAAAGTTGAGACTTTGAACAGCAGCTCTGCTGCTGGGCTGCGAGGGGGCTGGGAGCTGCCCAGGAAGCAGCAGCTCTCACTCAGGGGTGCTGTGGCTTGCCCAGGGTCACCGGGTGTAGATTTGTCTTTCCCAGCAGACCCTGAGGTTCTCAAGGGCAGAAGTTCCTGAAGGAAACCTTGGTGTTAAATGGAATTGGATCATTAGTGAGCTAATTCAAGTCAACACAACATAACTAATAATAATGGATTGATTAATTAATTAGCAAGTTGGTCCCTGCCTGATTGTATGACTCCACAGTTGAATATAGGACAGAGTTTGGCAGTCCTGCTTAAAATCTAATCTTTCAATAAAGGTGATATTTATGAAGTACGTGCTATGTTCCAGGTACTATGCAAATGTAATCCAGACCTTAAAGGGGATACTGTTCTCTTTTGAAAAATTAGTTTATTTTATGATTACATGATACAGTTCTATAGGCTCTGGAATTTCCCTTCTCCCCTTCCCAAATCCCTGTGCCTCACCCCCCACTGATTTCCCCTACATTATTACAACAGTATAGTCCTTCACAATCAGCTATAAATTGATCATTCTGCTGTTTAAATGTATCCTAACCCTGCAGGCATGGACAATGGCAGAGTCCAGCATCCCATTGTCAAGATGCATTCAGCAGTTCACTGGGAGTCCGTCTTTGATTTGTAAGCAGAGACGCACACTGTGCTGTATCTTCACATCTGTATATGATAGCCTCCACTACACAGTGACTATACAAAAGCGGCTCTTCCCCGGGAAGATCAGAGTGGCAGGCGGTCTAGGTAACACAGAAGAGGAACTGAGTTCAACATCATCTCATTCTCATCCTCTAATCCAGTGGTATTCAAAATAATATCTTTTTTATTTGAACAGAAAAGACAGAGAGGGGGAGGGGGGAGAAGGCAAGCTCCCATCTGCTGCTTCGTGCCCCAGTGGCCCCAGTGGCCAGGACCAGGCGAGGGCCAAAGACAGAAGCCGGGGATCCCACTCATGTCACACACGTGAGTGGCAGGGACCCAGTTACTCGGCCCATTCTTGCCGTTGTCCACAGCCTGCCCTAGCAGGAGGTGTGATCAGAAACTGGAGCCAGAAGTCCAACTCAGATGCTCTGAGAGTGGAAACAAGAGCCTTAACATTTAGGCAAAATACCTCTTTTCCAAACGTTTTTATCTTACACTCCTTTATTGACAAAGCAGTGGGGCCAGTGTCGTGGCATAGCCAGCTAAACTTGCTGTCTATGACAGCTGCTCATTTGGGCACAGGTTTGTGTTCCAGATGCTCCCTGCTAATGGACAGGGAAAAGCAGCAGAAGATGGCTTAAGTGCTTGGGTCCCTGAATGCATATGGCTCCTGGCTTTGGCCTGGTCCAGCCTCTGCTCATTGCAGCCATTCAGGGAGTGAACCAGTGGACAGGAGATCTGTCCCTCTCTGTGGTTCTTTCAAATACAGAAATAGATCTGGAAAAAGAAAAATCAGCGAAATGAGATCTTTCAAGTAAGCATGTATATTTATTTATAAAGAAGACTAGATATGTTTATCCATCATAAAACATTTATGAAAATTGAAAATTTAACTATGGCTCATGAAAGATAAGAGAATTACTTTAAATAATTATTTTATTTAGGTTAATTTTTTTAGTGAAACCAAAAATATTCTTGGCTCCCACTAGATGTATGTCATAACTAATTTTTTGCATGCTTAATTTTTAAACGCTTGTTAACAACAGTGGCTTCATGTATCATTGCAAAATCTACAAATCTAAGAATCCACCCTGAGGACACCTCTCATTAGCAATCCTGTGTGTGTGGCTCTGTTTCAGTGGGTCCTTTCACAGCATCCTCATTCCTGCCTCCCCAGTGCCCACAGAGCTGGTGCTGGGAAAAGCCATGTGAGCACTGCAGGCACTCACTTCCACCTGCAGTTCCCTCGTTCCCACTGTATTGATGCCATTGTGCAAGTTCAAGGACCCAGAGGTGATTCAGCCATGTTCTCTAGGAGAGTGCCAGCAGCGGCAGGGTCCAGAGGCAGCGGAACACCCAGCCTGGGTCGGGTGGGCAGCTGGAGGACACACTGAGGACAGTGGACAATGAGAAGGGGCAGGGAGGGACCCAGGCAGAGCTCTGAGCAAAGGTGAGAGACAGAGAGGGGTGTGAGTATATGTGTGTTAGGGGCAGTCTCTTGATTAGGGTACTCAGACAACAGAAAGAGCAAGCGAACGGGGCTGTATCCGGTCCTGAGGCCTGGTGGCAAATGCAATTAACCTGCTTGTTCGAACACCCGTGATCACGGTTATTAGAACAATAGAGTCAAAATGCACAAGTCCTACTAACAGCTCGCGGGCACTTGGCTGTGTGCCCTGCTTCAAGCTCTCATAAGCAGCAGGCGAAATGTGGACCCAGATTTATGCTGTTCCCAAAATTGCCTGCATGCTGGAGTCAGACCAAGCACATGTGGACACTCTCAATCACTGCCTTCAGCCACTGAGGTCAGAGGCCCCGTCACTTTGCCATCTGATTTCAGCCACAAATGAAGACGGGCAGAGACAGAAAGTCACATGACCTAGTGCCCTTGGCGTGTAGCCTGGAAGCCACTGGGCAAGCACCCCAGCCACCAGGAAGTGGCATGGTCTGTGGTCCTAGGTAATTAGATTTTTCCAGAAGCAGCTCTTAGAGACCTTGGGCCCATTGGCAATAGCACATCATTAGCAGCGGTTTGGAAGGATGGGGCAAGCTGCAAATCCTTTGGAAAAGGCAGTGAAAGACAGTTCTCAAATGGGAATTTCCCTTACAGACCCTGGTCCTTATGAATAGAAAGAAAGGTTTTCCCTCTTCTGGTCTCATTCCTCCTTCCCTCCTTCGGACCCCTCCGTCACTCCAGCATACACCCGTGTTGTAGCTCTCGGAGCCACTGGTTCTCCCTTGCAGACAGAACAAAGCACCCTCCCAGGAATGAGATGGCGGGAAAGAACAACTTGAAAGTTGCCTGAGCTTCTAGCAGCGCTGCTGCCAAGCCCTAACTTTCACGGTGTAGGATTAATTCTATTTTTTCTTTGTGCATCTTTAGCTTTTCTCCTGATGATCAGAATAACAGACAGATGCTCTAAAACAAGGGAAGAGACGCAGAGACAAATGAACTCCAACAGGTTTCTCGGAAAGCTGCCAGTACGGGGTGTGTCTCCGTGGTCTTTTGGCTGCGTCCAGGGTTGAGATCATGCTAGGTGTTAATATCTGTCATGTTCTGAAGAAAGAGCTGGACAGAGCAATCCCAATCCAATGGTTCCCTCCCCAGATGCCCACAGTGTCCGGGCCTGGACTATGACAGAGAACCCCACACTTGAGTCATCACTTGGTGCCCCTCGGGGAGTCGTGAGCAGAGGCAAGACTCAAACCTGGGTGCTCCAATGTGGAATCCAAGTGACAGCTTCTTAGCCAGGAGGCCCAAGACCCGCCCTGAGGCTATGCAATTTTGCATCTCACTTTTTGCACTGAACATTCAATTCAAATGCCTTCTGTCCAACCTCATGCCCCTTAACTTAGTTATATGCCATGGTTTGCTAACACACTCATTTCTCTCCTGTTCAACAGGTGGTTTCCAGGTCTACTTTGCCATGGTGAACAATGCTGTTGCTGTCTGGAGTTTGAGTTTACAAGGCTGTTGGAAACCAAGATCCCCGACCTTCTCTGGCCTCCCAGCCCCCCACTACCCACCAGGTGGGGATGTACTCGCACCTGTGCTTTTCCTGTCCTCTGGGGTCTCGGCTTTGGCCAGAGTGCTCAGGATCCTGATGTCAGGGAACAGGATCACGCCCTTGGTGCTTTCGAGCTGAGCAGCCGGTCTCCAGAAGCGCTCTGTGCCCCTCAGGGTGATCTGGGGCTCCACGGCCTGCAGGACCATCACGTAGGCATCCACGTCGGGAATGCTGATGCACACGTCCTCCCCGAAGCACCTGGAAAAGCAGCTTGCATCACGACACTGAGGAGCAGTGCCTCCAAGCAGTCACGACAGGGCCTTGCCACTGTCATCCCTGACGACCTAGGAGTCCCAGGCACTCAGACGGAAGCAATGCCATTGTCAAAGCTGCTCCCATCACAGACTGAAGGATTGGCCTCTGGAAGAAAGGGGGTCTCCTAAGCGAACCATAGGTAGCCCCTAACCCTTTCATTATCCTTCACCAGAGTAGCGGATGGCAGCACTTCTTAGACACAACTACTTGTGAAGTGCATGTATTGTGTAAGTGAGGAGCTCTCAGTCCTCTCCCTGAAGAACAGCACAAGATAAAACCCATTCCTGCCCCACATACACTGTACTCCTGCAAGGGTGTCACATAAATGTGCTTGTGGGATGCAGTGGCTGAGCAGGAAGTATTTAGCCTTCTTTTCCCAAGATGCTGCTGCAAAAAATCTCTAGGAGGCAGAAACAGTCTGACAAGAGCAAGGCCTGAGAAGTCCAGTCACAAGGATCCACAGCCTAGCTCTGGCGCTCCTGGGCTAGAGGAGTGCAGACATGGCACCTGACTCCTGGAACCTCAGTTTCTTTCTTTAGCCAAGGAAGGGATAAGTGGGATGCCTTATGGAAGGAAAGATGAAGCGCATGAAAGAAGCCTGCACGTGGTGAGTGCTCAGGATACACGGAGTGTTGTGATTCTTTACCAGACCTCTTCAAGGGTGTGTCCATCATTGGCCCTCTCCACCAGTCGTCCAGGCCAATGCCAAGCAAGGGCCCGATGGGGAACCCAAGGCCAGGCCTGTGCTCTGAGAATGTGAGTGGCTGTGGGCAAGCTCCCTGTAGGTGTTTTTCACACTGAGCCATTTTATCCCTTGTGCAGTGGGAAAGTTATGCTGCTCTGGAGATCATGGCTCCAGGGCTTCCCCTTCCCCTGGGCCACCCACCCAAGCAGCTCCACTCTCCTACAGGTTTACAAAGGCCTGGCCACAGCACAAGATGCTGGCCAGTCTGGCCCCTGCCCCTGACTCCAGTGTGGCACTGACTTGGAGGTGTCTGTTCCATACTCTTAGACTTTTGGAGGTGTGTGCACCGTCTCTAGATCCACAATGCATGACTTCCTTCTGGGGCTCAATCTTGGCTTCTGTCCTAGGCCCCAGGAACCCTCAGCCAGCATCTTCCCTCCCTGCTCCTCTTGGAGCTCTTCTCCTGATACAGGCATCTGTGATTCCTCTGCCAGTTCCCAAGGGAATCTCTGGGGTCCCCTTCCTGGCTGCCTTCGTTGGTAGCTGCAAGGCTAAGAATGTCTTTGATAGCCTGGTAAGAGAGTTAGCCAAAGAAATAATCTCTTTCATTAATTTAAATCGTCCCTGGGCACAAGAAGCATGTGTGCTCTTTCTCTGGAATACTCAGTCTTTGGGAACTTCACAAAGCAAGGTAGCTCAATGTAATTCAATTTAAGAAGCATTTATCAAGCACCTACTAGGTTCAGATGCCATGCCCTGACCGAAGCACCTTAAAACGCAGCTCTGAGAATCGATAGGAAGCAGTACCCTCAAGTTACGAGATTAAAAACAGAATCGATGGAAAAAGAGGGATTAGAGTGGAAGGATATCAGAACACTTGAGAAGAAAGCAAAGGGGGAACAGAGATTCACTGGGGTGTCTCCTTAGCCATGGCTAAGCTAAGGGAACTCGTGCTTTGCAAGGGGACACTGCCGTGGTTGCATGTGCTCCTCGGGTCCCAGGGTGACCGGCATCTACTCACTGGACTTCAGAAGAGACTCTGAGGCGTCGCACACCTGCGGTTGGAAACTGCCTGGAGTTGATGTAGGAGACCTTCTGGAGTGCACGATTAATATTCCCAATGTCATCCCCTTCCATTACCAGGATGGACTGTGAAGGGTTGAAGTGATACTGGAAGACACAGTGGGTATCGGGGAGAGAATGGTCAGTGATGGGAAAGTCCCATGGAAGTCCTCTTTCTCCACGGAAAATCCATACTTGCATCTCCACTACACCTGCAGGTGAGGCAGTCCTGTGTTCCCATGAGGGCTTTTGCCTCTGAGGCAGTTTCTGCAGGCTTGGGCACTGTAAGCCTGAGCTGCCATGAGCAACAAAAGGGTAAGCTGAGTTTATAGACCCAGCCATGGTGCCTTGCAGTCCAGCCTTGGTGAGGAGTGACCCATGCTCGGTGCTTTTGGGGAGTCTTGGGCAGTAGCAACCTAGAACCTGGACGGAGGCTCCTTTTGTTGCTTTGATCTTTGGCCTTGAACTGCTCCCCAAGTCATCCTGCATCCAACTTCCTAATCCAGGACACATCTTAGCTTCTGACCTTGCAGCTTGTCCTTCAGGAACGGACTTTCTGCCTTTCCCAGCTAGGAGTCTAGGTCTTTCTTCCTCAGTGCTGCACTCGCCTTCCTGTGCATTGCTTGCACACCGAGCTGGGTCTCACTTTTCCATGGAACCCTGAGTCCATGGGGCTTCGTACTTGGTGAAGGCCCATGTGGCCATGATGTTCCTCACTGACTGAGTCCTGGGGGTCTCAAACAAGATCCAGATCCCTGTTCCTCCAGCAACTATTATTCTAATAGGACACAGAGACCCGCCTTCAGGCTGCTCTGTATTACCGAGCCCAACCCACCTGCAAGCAAATCATTAAGAAATGCTAGCAATGAAATATTAGGATCATATCTGTGGATCCAAATGCTCATGTTACAGGAAGCAAAGATGTTTAATATGGTTTTTATATAATTATGCAATCCATAATTTCTATGTAATTATAAAATTACATATTTAATTATATAAATCAATTTCATATACTTATGCGATTTAACCATTGTGTACTACTCATTAGTCAGGTAGAACTACGTGGGAAGTGAAAAGTTTCTGACCTAGCTCTCATAACTCCGGCTCCCACAATGCCGTCTGACAGATAACCACGATTGCCACGAATTTCCTAGCACAGGTTGCATTATCATTCATCATTGGCAGGCTCGCCTTGCGTGAGGGACAGTGGGTCTGTCCACAGTGTGGACCCCATGAATGACAGCAGCCCTCCCTGATGGTTGCACATTTTGCCTTGTTGCACTCAGTACTGGTCATATGTCTTGCTTGGTCAATGAACATTGGGCAGTGATATTGTTTGGCTCACACGCAAAAGGGTGGTTTAATAGCCACATCACAGTTTTCCACGTTTCTTTTTCTCTGCTATGAAACTTGCAAACTTTTCCTCAGGGCTGGTCCGTCAGCCTGCGTCTCCCAAGGACAGTGGATCCAAGCTGCGAGTCAGTCTACAGTGCTGGTGGAATTTGAATGATAAATACAGTTTTGCCATAGACGCTCCTAAGATGTAAGTCATTTGTTACTCCAGGATGAAGTGGCCTACACGGGTAACTCTACTTGAGCATGTTACAAGCTCACAGATTCCACCCTCAAAGACAGCGTGCTACAGAATATTCCATGTCTCTACATTTTCATTAGATTATGTCTTGGCCCTGTCTCTGTAATACACGAAGCCTTCTTCATACATTTTTTTTTTTGACTGGCATAGGATATTCCATTGACTAGATTAGCTACAGCTCCACTGGACAAACTATCACATCTCCTGAACCTGTCCCTGACGGTGACGGAGGACACCGTGTACAACCTTCCCTGCCTGATGTTTCCTAAGTGTGTACACGTATGTGCAGGGTGCAGCCTTACATGTGAGGTTGTCAGGCCAGAGCACAGGCACCTTCAGCTTCTGTAAATGTTGCCGAGTTCCCCACAGCTGGGGCTTACAGGAATATCACCCCTAGGAGCACTGCCACCTCTGCATGGTTTAAACTTGCATTTGTTCTTGGAGGAAGGTGAGTAATTTGCTCAGGACTTCCAGGCAAATCTCACCAACTTTCCCCGCTTCTGGAGTGAATGTTTTTGCATGGCTCTCCTCCTCCATGTCCAGACCCCAGAAGGCAGACGTCCCAGGGGCACCATTGCTGACCCTGGGTATCGGTCTCTGGCACGGTGGCCCTGCCAGCCAATGGCTGTGTCTTGACCTTTGAACATCCTATGAGCGTTTTATTGTTACTACTTAAGCCTTGTATGCACTTCACCCCGGGCTTCCCTGCCCTGCTTCTGTAGAGTTCACACGACATGACAGTGCTGTTGGTATAGGGACCAGGGCCCACTGCCTCACCCCAGAATCTGAGAACCCAGCCCCCGGGGCCTGGAAGATGAAGGAACGAGCTGTCCTCCCAGCCTCTCTTCCACACACAAATGGCTTGTCCTTCACTCTCTTGTCTTACTAGCAGAGCTCTGTGGTCATCATGCCAAACTCTGTCCTCTCTTCCTCTTGGGCATGGTGGAGGCCACATTTACAAGGTGCCTTGTGCCACACATAGGTGAGTGACGTGACCACCTCTGGCCAATGAGAAGGGGAGCCTGGGGCTGAGGCCAGGTAGGGCCCTGTGGTGTTCCAGTCTGCATCTCCTTCCATCTCAGTGACCTGCGGACTTCCAGGTGGACACGCAGCCTGCCTCCCTCGGTGACCTGCGGCCTTCCAGGTGGACACGCAGCCTGCCTCCCTCGGTGACCTGCGGCCTTCCAGGTGGACACACAACCTGCCTCTCTGGCTGAGTGTAAGAGCCAGACAGGCTACACGTATGAAATCACGGCAGTAACCTAGCCAGTCTGGAAGAATCTGGCACATTCCACGTCTGACTCTCACCTCCTCCAAGGTGTCAGGCATCTCTAAGACCCAGGTTCGTGGGTTCTTGCATTCCAGTTCAGGACAAGCCACAAAGTACAACTTTGGACTAACTTTGTTCCTTTTCCAAACTCCATTTCCTCATTTAGAAATAATGAGCAAATAAATGTGATTGTGCCTGTAGCCTAAATGAGGAACTGTCTACGTAGGGTTCTGGCACCCGTCAGTGTGCAGCCTGAGACAGCCTGGCTTCTGAGAGTTCACTGCTGTAAATGAGCCCGGGCTCAGCCCTCGCCTGTGCGGCCACCCTGCTTCCCCTGCTTTGGCTTCCCCTTTGTCCCTCAATGTCCTGGCCAAGGTCCCTGGCCATGAGCACTGCTCCTGCAGATGCACGGCTGACATCACAGTCAGCCTCTGAGCGAGGAAAGCTCGAACTGTGGACGCCTGGCAGCTTAGCTGCCGCATGCTGGTGATTGTAACTGGTTCCTAGGTATTCAGGGCATCTGTTTTAGATTGGGGACGGTTCAAGGTTATTCCTGGAAGAGCACTCCTGATCACCATGCCCACCTTCCCCACAAGCCATCTTACTAACAGCAGGGACGAGTGCTGCGAGTGAGGGGAGGGTCTGCTGGGCTTTGCTCACCTGAGAAGCAGGAGAAACAGGATGAGCCCTGAACAGCAGGCCCTGGCATGAGGGCTGAATAGGAAAACCAGAGGTTCATCTAGAGGTGTGGGCTGGCAATCAGAGGAGGGCATGTTCCTCCTACAGCCACCAGGTGGGAGCATGGCTTAGGGAAAGCGCTGGCTTTCCAGGTAACACAAAACTGGTCCAGCAGCTAGAGCGTTGTGCCGACCCAGGACATAAAGGTAGCCTCTGGCCTAGCCAGCCACATGGTTCTTACGGAGTCAAAGCAGGTTCTTGCTTTGTTCCAACTGCAGTCCACCCAGTTCTGCTACTCAGGGGACATGTCTGAACTCTTATCACCATAAGGACAGAAAATGATGGCAACCAGCAGAAGTGACAGTTTGCTTTTCTTGGGAAGCTAAGCAGACAGATCACTGCTGTCCAATGGTCACCTCTGACCTGTTCCCTAGGGGCAGGCTGGCCACAGTTTGCCAGATACCTGCTCATTCCCTCACACACCTGCCAGCCTCTGAGCTGGACGAGATTTTGATGTAGTACCTCAGAGGCTTCCTGCCACAAAAGGAGCTGTGATTTGTTGGAACCTATTATCTCACTGTGTGTTTATACATACATTAGATAAAACTCCAACATCACAAGATAAATGACATTAAGCTCATCTTGCATATAAGGGACTGTGGCTAGAAGGGTCATAGTGTCTTTTCCATGTCACCCAGCTGGTAACAGACGTTTTGAGGGCAATCTGGTTCCAAAGACGTTGTTTCCCACTCTCCCACACTGTGGAACTGAGCCACACGCACCAGAGAAAGGTATTCTGCAGGCACGTGGCGAGGCCACTGCATTTGGTATGAATACAGGACAGTGACCAGCACAGCTACCGAGACTCAAGGCAGGATGGGAAATGCTCAAAAGTGTGCGTGAGCCAGAGGAAGACAAACTGAATGCCAGGCCCTGTGAACAGACAGGCTGTGTCCTCAATCACACGAGCTCGCTTCTTTCCAGTAACCAGAGAGGCAGGAGGAGGCTGGGAATCGGTAAATCAAATCCCAGTCATTATTCAGAAACAACCCAAGGGAGACTAGAGACAGGGAAGGAAAGAAGTTCCAAGACTGTCTTCTGATTTGAGTTGCTGGCGTGGCGGGAAGAGCACGGATTTATCGTGGCCAAGTCCCTGAGCCCCTGATCCCTTATCTGGGAAATGAGGTCATAATATTCAATTTGTTGTGAAGAGTAAGGATAATGAACATAAAACAGCCTCCGGTGAGTGCTCCACAAATGGTGTGTCTTATTAACTTCACACTCGATGCTCCAGGTCTCAGCAGCTGCACCCCAGGGATGGATAGCAGCAGGTGCCACCCTGGAAGTCAGGCTAGCACCCCCAGGCCCGACAAGCTTTGTGCCACTTATGTTAGCACCTCCTATTTTGATAGGTGATAAATTCTAAAAACAACCCCACTAGGATTCCTAATTTATAAAAATGACTTTCTTTTAAACTCGGCATCTTTGGCTAATTTTCTCAGTAGTGCCTGGAACCCTGCCACTGAGGTCCCCTGGGACCACCCAGAGCACCGGGGATGCTTCAGAGGCAGCGAATACATCCAGATTCTGAAAGAGAGCTATGGCTGGAGGTACCATTTCTGTATCATTGAGTTAACCAAAGCCCTAGGGAAACAACACAAAAAGTAGGTCGAGCACCCTCCAGGGACAAGTGGGTAGTTACAGAAAGTCGTGTGTGTGTGTGTACTACACTTGATCTAGCCAAAAGGCCGAGAAGCGATGTGTCTCTGTGTATGTGTGTGTCTCTGTGTATGCATGTCTATGTGTGTGTGCTGTCCACGTGGCACAAGGTCCTGGGAAGTCCTGCTGACTTCACCGTACCTTTGTCCTACCTGCCTGCTCTGACCCAGGCTCCGGGTTCGGCATCCTAGCCCTGCATATCTGTGCATTCGATGGCTCCTTGTTTCTAACAGAAAAATTAAATGTATTCACTGGAACAGAGTTGGAACATAGTGAGGAGGCTGTTGCCGACCGTGCCTTTGCCTACCTCTCTGCCTGGATGCCCTCCTCCCACAGCCCTGCCTTGTTCCACGCGACTCCGACCACTCCTACATGCTCTTTTCAAGCTTCTCTTCCTCTAAGGAGCTTTCTCTGATGGCTGTTTCTCCAGATTCTGAAGTTTTGGAGCAGGACAACTCGGGTTCAAATCCCAGACTACTTATCACTAACGTGGGGACTTTAGGTGAGTTCCCTTTGCCCAGGGTTGTTCACATCCTTCCCTGACTTCTGCTCAAGTTCTGAGACAGTGGCTTTGGTGCTCACGGAATGGAAATCTGTCCATTTTTCTCTGATCAAAGCCTGCTCCGAGCTAATCCTCACATGCTGGCAGTGTAGGACCTCACAGCCTCCCATTCTGCTTTCCAATTCCATCTGGCTCTGGTCTTCGCTTGCCTTTTCATTGTCTTTTCTAGTCCTAGCTCTTTGTTTAACTTTCACGCATTAGAAAGGCACCTGGCATGCTGCTTTGATTCCTTCAGGCAGATAACTGGCGAAGCCAACAACGAACCCATAAACACACAGAGGAAACACTGAACGTGGGCAGATGACACAGGTGGGCCTGATCCGTGTCTTTCAGGAGGCCGACAGCAGAAGTCCTTCACAGAACGGACCATCGCTGAGCTCTCCTGGGCAACATTTTGTTGTGATGGACTTCCTGAGCGATGTTACAGGAAAGGCGTCCACTTCCTGGCCTGCGTGGGCAGCCGCAGCCTCACGGCTCCATCTCTGATAGGGGTGGTCCCAGCTCCTGCCTTACCTTGATCCCTTGTCCAAGGCTTTCTAACGAGTTAATATCCAGCCCTTCCTTGCAGGCTTGCAAGCAGGATATCACCTTCTGGCTTTCCATTTTGCCAGGACGAATGGTGAGACTGGCCAGGCTCCCGTGGAAGAACTGAGCAAACCGTGGCTTGGCAACTTCTCCTCCTGAAAAACAAAAGTGGGGGTTGGGGACAGTGTCAGTTGTCCTGCAGGTCTTGGGCAGTTCACGCTATCTCAAAGCATCATCGAGTCGTGGACCAAGGTCACCTTGACCGTGTGTTCCTTAAGAATACGTTCTGGTGCTGAGTGCCATGGGGTCTTGGTTCCACTCTCACCCATGTGCCAATGTTCAAAGTGCACATGATGCCAAAGCCAGCTGAAGCCATTCTCTGTGGTTTTCTCCCAGTTAGACCTTCCCTGAGGCCTCTCTGCTTCCCACCTCGCTCAGGAGCTTCCCCACAGAGGCCGCTCGGTTTTGGCACTTCCATCTTTGCACCTGCACAAACGGACCTCCCCTGCAGCTTGCACTACTCTCCTCTTGAATAGGAAGCAGAAGGCAAGGGAAAGCCAAGTGGCCTGGGCTGACCTCGACCTTTGCTAGTTCCTGGGAAGGGTTTCTGAGCTCTGTGCCTGTGGGCTTTCCCTGGGGTGCTGTGTCTCAGGTCTAGGGTCCTGGGGGCTCCTCACTGTCATCCATGTTGTTCTAACCTGTATGTACTTTCACAGTTCTCTTTACTTTTCATTGTGTATCCCTCTTGACTGCAGACTTGGCCAGGTGACTTACTCAGCTTTCTTGTTCATATTGCTGTGTGGATTCTCTGCTGATTGGATCCATTCTGGAGCATCTGCTTCTGCCTACATGCATTCATTTTGCCCACAGAGACACTGTCTCCACACTGTTGAGACCACACACATTTCCCAGTTCTGCAGGGTCCCTTCAGCCTCCATGCCCCACAACTTACCGCAACACTGCCTGAGCCCCTGAAGGCCCACCATGCCCTCTCCCCACCTTGAGCCTCTTGGGACACTAACAGCTCCTTTTAACATACCCCTCACCACCTAGCGTTGCTAAGTAATGCTTACATGTGTGGTTACTGTGCCCTCGGCACCCTAAAAGGGAGGTATGCTCAACCTTGTCCATCCATTCTCATCATCGGGGGACCGTTACAAAGACAAACCAATTCTAGTGCTATATCCCAGCCCCAGGGATTGACTGAATTGGTTTGGGGAGTTTTTAAAGCTCCTTGGGTGAACCAAATGTAAAGTCAAGGTTAGGAACCACTGAGCTGTATGTTTCTTGAGGCTGGGTCTTTTGCAAACTCCCTCCTTGGTGCTGCCCACAGGCATATTCTCTGCACATTGCTATAATGTATTAGTTTAAGTCTCACTCCTAGAAAGCTGGGGTCACTCATGCATTATTCATCTTAATGAAGACAACACTGAACGAGAATTAGGGGATAAGGGCTGCAGCAGGTCCTTGGCCGAAGTCGACTCATTCATCCTCCATAACTCTGGGCTTTTTGTCCTCCTTGCATTCTGGACTCTGTCTGCCACACAGCAGGCATTCCAGAACTCTCTACTGAGTTATAGGCGATGGTGAACTGAGTATTGGGAACCTTGGGGACATAATGGCTGCCTCTCCACATGTGTTCCACTCCTTCTTTTCTGCAAAATCAGCCCTGAGATCTGGGGGTTTGGCTTGAATTTTGAATTTTGTTTGATTTGAACTCAGTAGGTCATGCCACCCCTACTGCTGCAGTGACTGACTCAGGTGTGGACTTGGGACCCTGTACCAAGAGGAATCCAGTCAGGAAGGGGCACTAAAGAAGTCACAGTGACTGATCCACAAATAAGCATGAGACACAGGTTGATTACTGTGAGATGTTGACTGCAGCTGATGCAAGAAAACTTCAATTTTTTTCTCCAGAAAGAGTCTAACTCTTGGTCTCTGCCCTTGGATGGAGGCCCAGGGCTGTGGCCCTCTCACTTGCTACAAGCAGCAGAGGCAAGTATGGGGGAGGGCCAAGCAGGGGTGCCAGCACAGGGCTGAGCAGAGCCCAGAGGTCTCACTGAGGCACTGTGGATGTCTTCGGTCTGTCCCCAGGGTTCACAGCATTCCCTGCTGCTCCAAGCTGACTTTGCAAATGAAAGCAGTCTCTTCTGAAGTGCTCACTGCATGGGGAGCCCTGGACATGTATGCCTCTGGCATGGGGAGCACTGGGCATTTGACTCTGGCATGGGGAGCACCGGACATGTATGACTCTGAGGAGTATCCTGAGATGGCCCTGGATGATGTACTCCTTCAGGCCGTTTGCAAGTCCCTGGTCCAGCTGTGTGTGTCAGCTGCAGGAAGGAGGATATGAGCCTTCTCCTCCCCCGTACATATATGGTCAGCCCTCTTCGGCCTGTGTCCCTACTCAGCCCCGACTTGAAGCAACAGCAACTATCATCTAGTGAGCATGCAACGTGTATCCAGCAACATGTCAGGTTCTCAGCCTATGTCATTAGATTGACTCTTCAAAAGACTCCTGTGAAATAAGACTCAGAGAGGAGAAGTACAAGACTCAAGGTGAGTCTGGCAGGCAGTGGCAAAGCATGAGTCTGCACAATATGCTTTCATCCATCCATGCATGGCACCTCTGGGGAGTGATGGCTCACACAGGGCACCTCTGGGGACCTTGTGTGATTTCTTTCTCTCCTCCACTGTTCATTTGCAGCTGTATCCTCTCAGGCCAAGCTTTGAGGCACTCTTACAGGCTAAGACGTTTTCCTACAGGCTATTTTGTTTCAAGAGTCCCAGGTCTGTGAGGGACTCTGGTGATTAGCAACAAGACTCTGGGGCATCGATTCAGTTAGCATTTTGCAACAAGAGGCCAACATAAAATTTGATATATATTTGCACCCAGTGGTGGTTGTGATGGAAGATTTTTTTTTTAACAAAAAGGATTGGATACATTTAAAAATCTGTGTTTTTATTGTCTAGTTTGCATAGACCACGTGGTTTTAGACACAGACAGGTACATAAATCATTTTAAGAAACAAAAGCCTGCTTTTTCATAAAAAGCCTTCTTTAAGCAGTGGTATGCAGGATATGGGTTCTTGAGGCTAAATCTGTTCTTTTTTCACGATGTGATGCAGAGCCACAGGGATTTCCCCTTCCACCCTCCTAGTCCCCGCCACGAATGTTCTCCCCCATAGAATACTGGTCCAGCAGCCACCAGCCCACCATTCTGCTACTCAAATGTATTGCAGCATTGTAAGTATGGACAGCGGCAGAGCTCCAACCACGCAGCCAGGCATGGTGGTTGCAAGGTGCCAAGGCACTCATGATTAAGCATCATGTGACTTTTGTGTCTGTCCACTGTTCCCTTCCCCCTCTCTGGCTGTGTCTCTCAGAGATGCTGAGGTGACAGCTCTTTATTTAAGATCATCAAAGGATTTTCTAAAGGATACAACGTGAGAAATGTAACTCAGTTACACTGTCCTTTTAGCAACAATCACTTACTTTTAAATCCGAATTCATTCGTGCCATCTTCGAACTTAAAAATCAAAGAGTCCATTGAGGACAACTTAAACAGACTCTCTGTGGGTTTCTCTGTGTGCCTCAGGTGGAGCCACACATTTTTATCAAAGCCATCTTAAAAGCAGGATGTATTTTAGTAAACATTATTGACTTTTTCCAGGTCCTGGAGTTAGGGAAGTTTCCAAGACAGCAGAGAGCTCGTGCCCTTGGTCAGCTCTCAGCTGGGCAGGGGTGGAGCCTGGCATTGGCAAGTCTTAGCTTTACAGAAGACTCCTGAATGCCAGGGCATGGCGTGAGCTCCACGGGGAGAGAAGACTGGGAACCACGTGCTAGACAGCATTAGATAGGTTTCCTTCCTGGAGTACGTTCAAGACATTCGAATACATTAACGTGCACTATGCCTCTCCCTGGGAGTGGTGTGGGGAAGCGTCAGGCTGTGTTTCCCAGACTTGACCTCGGCCCTTTGGTCGGCTCTGAGCCTGGAGCTCCCTGAACCCTTCCTCAGGAGATGCCACTTGAACGGAATGCAGACAGGACAAATTCGTGTCTTGCATGGCAGAGACCCAAGGGAGACAGGATAATTCCAACACAGTCTTTATTAACAGAAATTTGTACTAAATTAGATGAAGCTTATTAAGTGAAAGCATGTACTCCATGTCTCTGTGCTAATGCTAGTGTCTGGCAGAAAAGTGACCTGGAAATGTACGACAGATTCAAGATCCCAAGTGGCTCCATCGCCCTGTGTCTGAGGACTGCACGCGGCTGCCTCCCGCAATGCTCCCACGTCATTTCTGGCTTTGTTTATTTGATTTAATTCTTGTTTCCATTCCCTTTTAGCCATTCCTGGTTTTTGCCTTGGCTCCTTCCGAAAGCCCCCATGGGATTCTGTATTGTCCTTTCACAGACCATCATTTCTAGAACCATCTCTATTTCCTGCTGTCATGCTTGTTAGGATCCACGAAGACCAGCATCCACAGTGAACAGCCTTTCTCCTTTGAGCCTTCTTATACCCCTGTCATAGTGAGAGATGGGCAAGGCTGGGCGTTCTCGAAGGCCAAGGTCCAGAACCCAGAGGTGAGCTGGTCATAAAGGAATGATCCCAGACTGGGAGCCTGGGGAGCAGATCACCGAGAGTCCCCAGACATCAGGCAAGGTGACCTCTCGAGCAGGTGCATGGGATTGTGTTTCTTGGTGAAAAGTACTCGTTTACATGTCCACCATGAAACAGAAAAGGCCGAGCTGTATTGGTTGAAGCTCCTGCAGAGGCACTCTGGATTCTGCATGCTAGGCATCTCCCAGAAGCCCAGGCTCTCCAAGGAACTGGTCTACCGTCTACAGCCTTCTTCACTCACCCTCATGCACAGCCAGGTGGGAAGGCACAGGTGGGAAGTCAGAGGATGAAGCCAACATGAGCACACAATTCTTACTGTTTACAAGTAGAACTCATTTTTGCTGTTGTTGTTCTTAGAAATAAGATCAGTAGAGAATCTAAGATAGAGGACAAATCAAATTCATCTCTAACCATCCTCTCCCTCGCTGTGACCCATAATGAAATAAAGAAGCTGGCACTGGTAGAGGCACAAGTGGCTGAGTCAGCCCAGGGTGAGTGGTCCTGAGCAGGGAGCTGACCCTCACTGGACAGTACAGCACACCCAGAACCAAGAAGCAACACTGAGCGCATGTGCAACAGCCACACTCTGATGCCAGCCACCTGCTGTGCGCAAAGCCTTCCCCTACGATTATGAGATGCTCCATGCTCTAGGCTTCACTAACAACGCTTCTTAAGTGTAAATGAAGTCTCATTTTTCTAATTACTGGAAAGGATTCCAATGGAAATGAAGTTCCACTGATTATGCTGGCTTTCAAATTCACTAACAGGACACAGTAGACTAATACACTGCCTGGCAACAGTACTGGAACCGGTTCCCGGGGGAACTCAGCCAGCAGCTGCCTTCCAATCATTTCTTATTTCCATTGTTCAACCCGATTGGAAATCTCACAGATGACAACCAGTTCCCTTGCCAACCTCCAAGCCCCTGAAAAGCTCCCCATGACTGCAGCTGCAAAGGGAGTTCAGGAGAGTCACTCAGAGACTTACACAATGCAGAGAACTGAGCCTGAGAAGGTCTGGTTCACGTAGAGGTGAGGATTGCACCACAGGCCTTTATCCCACAGCACTATCTCCCACTGCAGAATCCCAGGATGTGTCCAGCCCAGACAATTCGTGGGAATCCTTAACAAGGCGGTGTGGCGTCCCCGGACTCCACCAACTGCTTTCCCAGCTGCTCTGCTCCTTCCACCGTCGGGCACCCTGAAGACCTCTGCCAACTCCCCTGCCTTCCACACGCTGCTGTCTCTCTCACCTTCCTCATAAGCTCATCCAGCTGAGCTCACTTTGAAAGATCCTGAAAATGTTTTTCCTGCTAAAATTTCACCAATGGTTTGTTATCTCTCTCTTCTCTATGGCCCCAAAGACTGCGTGATCAGGGTTCCGCTGTCTCAAGAACCATCTTCTGACAACAGTCCTAAGTGCCTGTTCCTCATCTTCACTGACCTCTGTGTGGCTCATTGGCAGAGAAGTTAGTGCAAGGTCTGTGTGGCAGGCCCAGTCCTGGGCTGGGAAGAAGAGCCAGTATGTGCAGGAGCCATAAGAATGCATACCACAGAAGCTGGAGTGTACCCTGTGCTCACAGGCTGCCTGCACCCGACTCAGAATAACCCTGTGAGGTAGGATTCCTTCTTCTTTATAGAAAAGGGAAGTTCAGGGAAGGTAAGAACCTAACAGACCACACAGCTGGTAAGTGGCAGGGTAGGGATTTGACTCACACTGAACCCTTTTCTGACTCTAAGGTCTAAACTCGTTCTCACCGTTTCTTGGGCTATGTCGCTTCAGAGAGTGGATAGAGGGGCCAACTAGGGGGTCTTTCAGCCCCTTGTGGGGTTTTGATTACAAGACAGTCATCTGCTACAGACAGAAAAGAACCCATAGCACCTGCCTCAATCCACATCATGTCCTGGCTTCTCCTGAATCCATAATGGCACTAACAGAGTGGCCAACTCAAAGCAAGGACAGAGAGCCATGGGGAGAGGTGTGCAGGCACTGGGTCCTGACTGGGAGACTTTGGGGAAACTTCTCTCTCAGAGCCTTGATGTCCTTACCCATTCATTGGGACGGATACCACTGTTACTACGACACTAACCCCACACTCTAGGAAAGCCTGCAGGACTACGGCTAACCCCACATGCCTAGGAAGACCTCCTTCCAACACTGGCTGTTAAAGTTCCCATCAGGGAGTGACATAAGGCCCTTCACTCCCTCACGCTTCCGAATCCACAGCAAGTCCATGAGCACACTTGATTCTGAGTCACAGCAGTTCTGCCACCTGTCTGGAAAGAGGACCAGGAATACGAGCTGAATAAGCACATCAGTTGTTATCTGACCTACCACATTTCTTTAAAGGAAGAACACACACAGATTTCCTGCCTAAAGTCATACTGTAGAATGGTTTTTAAGTAGATTGTGATCAGATATGAGAGCATGTCAAAAAGTCTCTGGAAAATGGACTTAAAAGAGAAGCTTGTTTTGATGTATAAAACATTGAAATTCATGCATGAGAGGGATCCTCAAAACACTGGGGGATTATTTAAAAAAATGCATGGATTTCAAAATTTCTTACACTAAAGTAAATTTATCCAGTAGTTACATTTTCCGTAAACTCTTGGGAGTGCCCTTGTCTTTTTGCTACTCAGGGAGTGTCGATGGTCTGTATGTGGACACTGGAGAAGCATTTCAGTAACCAGTCAGGGGCCACAGCGAAGACTTCCTGCCTGAAGACGGGGACTCTGCCCACATGGGAGGGACTCCGCCCACAGGGGTGGGACTCCTCCCACAGGGGTGGGACTCCTCCCACAGGGGTGGGAACTCCTCTCATTTGGATCCAAAGGGTTTCTGACTTAACTATAAACCAAATATTGTAGTTCTGTAATACTTCCTCTGTCTTGGTGTATGTTTTGGTTGCTCCACTTCATTCTACTGCTATATAGTTACATGTGTGAGAGAGTGTGTTGGGTACTGTGTTGTGGGTGTTACATGGTAAAGGCTGTGGTCATGGCAAAAGATTTGTCCTACTACCATATAGGTTTCCAGATACATTGGAGCCACTTTCTGATCTCCTATAGACCCTTTGAGATCTCAGCAATCAGTCAAGTGGTGCTTCTGAGCGATCTCTTTAGAGGAGGGTGTGTGTGTGTGTGCACATGCATATATACATACACATACACACACACATAAATGTATATATTTACATTTTTTAAAACATGGAAGGAAAGTTAAATAAATCTCTGTTGACTAGGTAGACAGACTGTTATTCATAAAACATTTTCAGGCTTTCTTCCAGAAACATCCTGGAGTTAAGTGTTGGAGTTAAGTGTGGCTCCATGACTTGTTGTCACCAAGAAGATGTGAATTGAAACGAAGGGCATCGCTTGCGGGTGCAAGTTCTGAGAGCTTACACGCAGACCGTCCTGCTCAGCTGTGTGCTTGTTCTGTCTGCTCGCATTCCTATCTGATGAAAAAGTGGAGAAATGATTTGAGGTGGGAATTATTTTAAGTGGCTGATAAGTGAGGGTTAGCCCTTTCTGGCTGATTCACCACCTTAATTCTCCGTGGTGTGGGCATTCTCCAGGCCATGCTCAGTAGTAGTCACAGCTGGCGGCAGTCCAGCGAGGGCCAGGAGCCACGCCACAAGGTCATCACTCTAGCACTGGCTGGTGATTCCTGTGCAGTTATGCTCATCATGTGGATTTTTGCCGAGTGACACAGAGTCCTTTCCTGACTGCCTTGGGAAGTGAAACACACTAAAGAAAGGCTCACCGCCAAGTTCTACTGCAATGTGCAGGGAGCTGTCAAGTGTCGTATGTCATCCATCAAGCTCATGGCCTTAGCTCCCAACACCTTCTCTCCCATGCCTCCCTGCTTCACCTTTCGGGTGCTGCCTCCCTGCTGCTCCAGGCGTCCTCATGCGTTGTTTGTCCCACCCTCTGGGCATGGGGCTCCCTAGAACTCCACCCACTGGTCTCACCTCCGGTTCCCACCTGTCCACTCAGCTCCTGATATGTACCATCAAAGCCACCAATCTTGCTAAATGTCACCCAACTTATCAATACAGACTGAGTCATACTTCCAAGTCCTCGTGTGCCTCCAGGAGACACATGCTTGCCTGTGACACCTGCTGTTCCTGCTTCCACAGCAGAGCCTAATCTGGGCCGGGGCTTAGAAAAGAGGCAGGTGTTGAGGAAGTAAGGAGGGACCAGAGAAGGCAACAAACGGCCTGTACTCCTGGGACCAAGGAAGGGGCACAGACTGAGCTGATCTGGGGAATGGTCTCCTAGGCTTCATAATCTGTGAACAAGCTGCCTCCCACAGCCCTGAACAGAGGGTAGGGGGCTTGGGTCACTTGTATGGGGATAAAGGGAGATCCTTGGCCTCTAGCACTCATCAGAATCAACAGGAAGCTTGCATAGAAGATTCTACATCCAGCTTTGTCAATCTACAGCTCTAGTGTGGAACTAGATGTCAGAACAACAAAAGACATTAGCGATCCAGAGGCAATTATGAAACTCTCTGTGTTAATCTCAAGTCAGATTTAGTATACCATGAATACTTTTTTTTAGTTCTGATTATTCAGTAAAATCTAGTACCATTGTTTCTGGCTAACTCTCACATCACGTGCTTTCCCATTCTCACTCTCAGGGTGTTCCAGGCCAGAGACAAGACTCCACCTGGGGTTACCTTGCCAACAAGCGCCGACTGTAAGTTGCATGGCTATGTGAGATGGATGAATGGGCCAGTCGTTGGTCACCAGGTATGGTTCATATGTTGCTCCGTCCATGTATAAGGTGACCACAGGAAACTCCACATTGATGACATAGTAATGCCACTCTTTGTCACAAATCTAATGAAAAAGAAGAGAAGCAACACTTAAAATTGAATATTGGATGCAATGCCAAATTGGTTCTTATTTTGATTATGAAAAGGAGAGGGGACATTTTAGGGTTAGCCATTTTTATTGCAAATAGCTCATTACAACACCGTCAATGGAAGCTCATCATGATACAGGATGAGAAAGGTGCACCTGGGAACCGAACAATCGGGCAAACCCACTTGTCCTCAGTACCTGGAAGGGATTGGCTCTGGGTCTCCCTAAAGGCAGCATCTGGATGCTCATGTCCTTCATTTGTATGTGATGTGTGCCCGTCCTTCTGCACAGGTGAACTCATCTCGGATCATGTGTAGTAGCCAATGTAACGGAAATGCTACATAAATGGACCATATTGTCTAGGGTTTAAAATCCATGCTTGTTGAATATCGTTGCAATTAAGAATATCTAGGATGAATCCTCAAATGCAGAGCTGAGCGCTGATGTCCTTGGCCACAGCAAGATGATCTCGGCGACACAATTAGCAGTTAGGGAGGCTGGTGAATTTTGGCTGAACGGCTGAGAGTGACCGTTTCAATTGCTTTTTATGAAAGTTTTAGTTCATTAGAAAAAAACTTGTAGGTTTAAGAATAGCTGAGAAGGCAAGAAGAAAGTGCTAACTTGAAAGTGGGAATAAAGATCAAGACAGTAGTGAGAGGGAAATAATTTAATGAAAAAGGAGGAGGAATAGTAGTTAGAAAGCAGGAGGATTCTGCCTTTAAGCACCATAGTCGATACACAGGTGACAGTTCGAATCCCAGCCACTCCACTTCCCATCCAGCTCCTTGTTGTGGCCTGGGAAAGCAGTGGAGGACAGCCCAAAGCCTTGGGACCCTGCACCTGCATGGGAGATCCCGAGGAGGCTCCTGGCTCCTGGCTAAGGATTGGCTCAGCTCTGGCTACTGTGGCCTTTTTGGAGAGTGAACCAGCAGATGAAAGATCTTTTTCTCTGTCTCTTCTTCTCTCTGTAAATTGTCTTTCCAAAAACAAACAAACAAACAAAAAAAACCCAATCAAACAAACAAGAAAATCTTAAAAAAAAAAAAAGAAAAAGGAGGAGGAGGAGGAGGATAGCGTGCAATGCACACAGGAAGAGGGAGACAGTGATAAGAAGTGGAGCCCCTCATTCTTCACCCATTCTTGCAGGGGTGAGAAGTGTCCAGCCCGCGGGCTGCACCAGGCCCTTCCAAGGCAACTGACAACAGCTAGACTGCAGATCCAGTAACCCTGCAGCAGGCTAATTATTCACTCAGCCTTTATAACTTTATATGGCTCGTAAATGACTATAAATAGCCAACTGGTTCTTGGCAGAGTAAGGGTCTCTCCCCTGCTGGGAGACTTCTCGAAGAAGCTGCTCTAATCTCATGGCCTTTCAAGTCAAGCAAAACAAACCCCAGGAAGACAAATCTGCCCTTCAGGGTTCAGCTTCACTCCTTGCTGCACCTGAGAAGCTGATGAGGGCCCACCTGGCCACATGGGACCTCACACAGCCTGCACCCAGGAACTGGGGCCTGGGAAGCAGCATCCAGCCTTGGTGAACCTAGGTGGGCTAGAGTGCAGTCACCTCAAGGGACTGACCCCACGCAGAATGACCTCTGTATCAAAGCCAGGCCAAGACTGCCACGACTTGGGCAGAAAGTCAAATGGAAGAATGGTGCCACCTGCCCCCGGTTCCCCTTCACACTCTGTCCTGCTGCAGCCCCGCTTACCAGGAGACAGGTGTCTTCTGCGGGAAGGTGACCCTGAGTGAGGGCACCAGAGCCCTCCCCACCTCCCACTCCGATCCAATGTGCTGTTTCTCATGAATAGATAACGCCAACAGGGATGCTAAATGATCTTTCTCCTTTCATTTTGGAATAAGAATTTTTTCCTTAATGTCCTTTTTATATTGTCCCATCTCATGTCTCAGAAAATTGCTTCTTTTGAAGCCCATTAGCCTGATAAAGCCTGATGAATATTTTAGGGCCTTTGGACAGTAAGCAAGGAGAGGGCCAGGCAGATGGTTCCACCCAGGACCAGCTTCACCCAGTGAGGGACCCTGACTCAGTCTACAATCCCCTACTGCTTGAGGTCTCAACCCAGTACTTTGGTTGAGTGCAGTGTTCTTGAGCTGGGCCTGGGATTAGGGTGTGTGACCCTGGTAGGCACAGAGGAAGCCCTGAAGTCAGGGTCCAGGGCAGATGGAAACATAGGGAACTAGGGAGAGGAGATGAATGAAACACACAGCTGGGGGCGCTCTAGTGCCATGGAGCAAGGACAGACAGGCAGCAGGGTAACCTGGGATCCGGATCTGTAGACTGGCCATTCCAGACTCTGGAGGGAGCGGGGACAGTGTAGTGCTTCTGACTATATCCCCAGATCAGAGCATGGGCCAGGCAGTTCCCCATCTGGTCCTCATCACCAGCCCTCTAGGGTGACCCCATCACCACCGAAGCTGATGGAGCAAGGTTCTCTGCCTTCTTTTCTTTCATGACACGTAACAGCAGATCCTCTCAATATCACATTTCCCCCAGGCATTCTCTCTCTAGCTGTAATGGCTCAGAGAAAGGCACTAACCCCGAGACCTAGTCTGTGTGTGTGTGGGGGTGGCGAGTAGGATTTCTCTTCTTCATGAGTATATCCACAGCTCCTGACAGCTTCCCACTGTAATAACAGCTTTTCAACCTTGTTGGAAAATGGATCTTTGCTCTTTATAATATTCCTAGAAATAATCTGTGAAACAACAGTTGGGAAAGTCCTATTTGGGTCACACTCTGTAGCAATTAGGAAGTGCCTATGTTTCCCTAATATTAGCATTAAAATGTCTTCACCAATTTCAGTTAAGTGGCTGTATAGCATGATTGTACTAGACCATAATTAACTAGCCACTTATTATCATGCATTAATTAGGTACCAGCCATTATACATCCTGTAATGAGTTTCTTCTGCATAAATATTTGTTAGTGCTTCTCATGATGCCCTTAGAAAACATTTCAAGAAATAGAATTGCTGGGTCAGAATTTGGAGATATTTTTAAGGCTCTTGATGCACATCAACTTTTTTTCTGCCCAAGACTGTATTTATGCTCCTACCCCCTGCACAGTAGTGTGCTAATGCCCCCTACACTTCCAGCAGCAAGCATCAAAAGGCACATTTTGGCAATCTCAGTTGAGCCTGGGTCCCAAAAGACAGCTATAGGTATGTTCTTTAGGACCACAAGGAGGGAATTCTGAAAAAGGGGACCAGCCTGAGTTACAACTCCCGAGATTGGAAACAATGAGGCTGCTCGAAGGAGCTCCTTACTGGGCACCCCGTCTTCCTTCTAGTGTGGTCTAAGCTTATTGCTGTAGGGTGCTCCCACCAAGCAGTCATCGATAGCAGCAGAGATAAGGCCAAATTAGGACTTCATAAACATGAGTCCATGTTCAGCACGAGACCTGCCCTGCCCTGCCCTGCCCTCTGCTAGAAGTGCAGAGACAACCTGCCCCGGAGACACGGCAGCAAGAACTAACATGGGGATGCAGAATCCAAGCAAGAGGAGGGAAGTTCGCATGGTGTATTTCTGCATGTCTATCGGTCACTGATGCATCCAGCTGGCACCACGCGTGCCCCACGCCACCCCGTGGGGGAAGCCCCAAAGATGCTCTACTTTCTGAACACCTGCTGGTGTTCCCCTGGTTTGCAGCTGCAGCTGCTGCTTTGGCTGGTGAGCGAGGCAGAGACCAGAGGCCCAGAAGCACATGTCGTGGAAGAGTGGCAGGGACATCAAAGGAGGTCTGATTCAAGAGGGGACTGACATTCCAGGTGAGTCGGAGGGCCAGGGAGAGGAACCTTCCGGCAGAGGAAAAGGATCAGGCGAGAGGGCCTGTGTGTTGACCAGCTGATCCGAAAATATCACGTAACAGACCAGACTGGAAGGGCTGGCTTGGGCTTCCCAGTCAATCCTGGTGTTTTCTGAGTGCAGCTTTTCAACACGGGATGCATTCACTCACCAGCTACTGTGTCTACGGAGGCTGCCGGGGTCACAGAGCTTGTGGGATGCATCCTTTGCCTTCCAGACTTTCCATCAAATGGGTGGGGTTATCAGGTGCACAGGTGTTGGGAGTCTTCATCAATACAGATTTCTACATTAATATACTGAACCTCTTGTTTCTACATCTGACTTTGCATTAGCCCACCTTTTTCTTACTGCAATGAAATACTTGAGGAAGCCTACGGAGGAAAACGTTTACATTGGCCTATGACTGGGAGATTCCCAGCCCCAGACTGGATGGGATTTACTGTTTCCACCTCTGGTGATGCTACAATGGCTGTTGGGGTTGTGAAGCAGCACAGGAACCCACGTGGCAGGAGACTGCGCATCCGTATGTCCCCTCTTACAAGGCCACTATGGCCATGGGGGCCCCACGAACTAGGCTGGTGTAACCATCACTGACGGTCCTACTTCTACGCCTCATCAAAAAAAAGAAAGCAAATATCTGTTGGACAGTAGTTACACATCACAGCAGGATGTCGGAGAGCAGAGAGTCCCTCCAGCTGGACGAAGGTGGGGTTTGCAGAGAACACTGAGGGCTAAGATTCATCAGCAATGAATGCTGTGAAGCAAATGAAGCAAAGGCCCCTTGCTCCTCCATTTACCCACCTGTCTTGTCATCATCAGGGTGTGGACTGGACACGGATTCACTCATTCGTTCCCTCCTGCAGACATTGCCTAAGCTCATTTCCTCGCTGGAGAACCGAAACAACCACCTGCATCTGTGCAGGATCAACTCAAAGAGCTTGCAGCAGACCGGCACTTCGCTCATCACAGGTCTGGAGAGCCTGGCTGACCCAGCTCAGAACAGGGGTGTCTGCTACTGGAGGAGCAGGAGCCAAGACAGAATGAGCGGTGTGGGACGAGGCTGCAAGCAGATGCCTGGAGCTCAGGATCCAGACCCCAGTTGCTGTTTCTGTACAGGCACCAGGAAGTCTGGAGTCTACAGGCTTCTGGGGGATGG